TGGCCCAAGAACTGGTTTTGCGGGGTTGGAATCCTCCACCGGTTGCCTTTTGCCCCCCAGACGAAGTCTCATACCAGTATCTTCGCTCGGTAGTTGGTGTTCAGCCCAAATCCAGTAAAATTGCTCCGCTAGTGTCCGAATTTCGCCAAATTCTGTGTATCCATGTGCCACTTGATTGTGCAGTGCCTGTCCTGCCTGGGGACAAGTTGCAATCGCCCTGGTTTGACATTCCATCAGGGTCTTGTCTTCTCAAAAAACCTCCCCTCCGGCCAAATGGGGGTATTGCCAGTGACACCATCCCTTGTAATAATGGTAACCAATCCCACAGTCTTAATAATGGAAACCAATCCCATAGTCTCGCCCAGGTAAATCCTAAGAACCCATCAGATGGCAGCTCTGCGAAAATGTCCAAAGAGTTGCATTTTGGAGTTTACAGGTTGTGTGATCAGTTCATTTCTGCAGCCGCCTGGGCTGGACATCCCGCTGGGGGTGAGACTAGGTTACCACTTGCCCTGCAAGGTGTCTTGGAGTTCCTGTCTTCGAGGTCGCCAAAGGAAGTCGCCAGACATAGGTCGGATACCTTGAATTTCTGGCTCAACCGAGGCCGAGACTTGTGCAATGAAGAAAAGAAGCTACATGAGTCCTTGCATCCTTCTTTGAAGAGCATCCTTGCTGCTGTGGAAGGAAATGCTTGAGTATTATCAATATCCTGATGTTTCGGTATTTGATGAAGTCGTTTCGGGCGTAACTCTTTCTGGTGCTGCTCCTGACGTGCCTTTCTTTGAACCAGGCTTTAAACCTGCCAAGGTTACTGAGAGTGAATTGGCATCATCTGCTGCTGCTAAGGCCTCCCGTGTTGGTCAGGTGATGCAGAGATCGACCGTGAGGTTTTCAACAAGACCCAGGATGAGGTCTCGTGCGGCTGGCTCGAGGGCCCCATTGATGCAGGTTCCCTTGAACCAAGTGCAGTTGTCAGCAGACGGTTTGGAATTCGACAGTCTTCCGGTGAGGCTGTTAAGATTCGTTTGATTGACGATTTCACTGCATCCAACCCAAACCAGACAGTGCAGGTGGAGAATGCTCCGAAGTTGCACACCCTAGGCATTGTGGCGGCCCTGTGTATGGAACTGCTCCGCCAGCATGGAGACTCTGAATGGCTAGGCAAGACCATTGATTTATCCTCTGCTTACCGCCAACTTGGTGTCTCCCAGCATTCTCGATGGGTTTCATATATTGCTGTATACGACCCTTCTTCAAAAACGGCTAAAATTTACTCCATGCGTGCGCTGCCTTTCGGAGCCAGCAGATCTGTGTATTCGTTTCTCAGGTAGCCCACTCTTTGTGGTGGCTCGGTTGTGTCGCCCTGAAGTTCCCATGGAGTAGCTTCTTTGATGACTTTATAACCCGCTGCAGAAAGAATGAGGCGCCCACCATGGAAATTGTAACTTCGCAGTTTTTCCGTTTGCTTGGGTGGCTGATGTCGGAAGGGGACAAGAACCTCCCATTTGCTAGTTCCTTCAAAGCGCTGGGCGTTGAGATTGACTGCTCCCGGTGGCAATCTGGATGGGTCCTCTTCCGCAATACTCAGAAAAGGATTGACGAGCTCCAGTCCACAATCGCCCAAGCGATCCAATGTGGCAGGTTGAGTGCCAAGAATGCATTAGTGCTGAGAGGCAGGATGCAGTTTGCCAGGGGCCAGATCTGGGGACGCTCTGCAAAACTGTGTCTATCAGCAGTTACCGCTCATGCTTATAGCGACTGTCGCGATTCATTATCAGAGCATGCCATAGCTTGCCTGCAGGCGTTCATGGACAGCTTGGTGGCGGCAAGACCCAGGGAGATTACAGCCATGTGGGATAAACCAATGCTATTGTTCACCGATGCTAGCTTTAACCCTGATGATTCTCATTGGCCGTGTGGCCTGGGTGGGGTGCTCTGTAATGAGACTGGTAAACAGTTGGCTGCCATATCCATTTCATTGACTGAAGTCGACCTGAACATTCTGGGGTACCCCTTGAAGTCCACAGTTATTTTCGAAGCAGAATTGCTTGCACTGGTGCTTTGTGTGAAGCTCTGGAGAAAGTTATTATGCAATCGCCCTTGTGTCATGTACGTTGACAACAATGGAACCAGGGATGTAGCGATAAGCGGCAGTGCAAGATCCTGGCCGGGGTCCTCCTTAGTATCAGCTTTACTCAGGCAGGAAGATGCTGCTTGTCTGACTGCCTGGTATGCAAGGGTTCCGTCCTCCAGCAATGTTGCTGAGGCCCCGTCCCGAAATTCTTCTCAAGGCATCCATGTAAAATTTCTGTCAGTCGATTTAGTGAGGCCCCATTTAAATAGACTGATAGGCGATCTCAAGCACAGCGGTTAAGGTGGTTAGTCTGGGTGACATGCACATGGAATGAGCTGGAGACGTTTTTCCTTATTGTGATGGGCCATCCAGGCCGTGAGACCTATGGAGGTCTTTGAAATTCAAGTTGGAAAATGTGAGATGATGTGACAGATGAATGTCACCGTGACAGTGTGATCCAGCTTGGAACGATTTGAGATTTCTCCCCATGCTTTTGCAGAAAAAGCTGAGTGAGTGATTGCGTTTCAGATTCAGCATGTGATGGCAGTTTTTCACATGTCCGCATGTCGCATGTTGTTTTTGTTTTTTTTTTGTTTTTCGTTTTTGCGTTTTTACGGCGCGTAACTTGGAAGGATGACTTCTACACTTGGCGTCTAAGCGTGTAACTTAAGCAAACTGTCAGGAATTGATAGCGCCTTAAGTTAAACAGCGTGCACAAATTTAAATAAATTTTTGAGCCAAGCAAAACCTGCGCAACGAAAAACATCCAAAGTCCGAAAAGTAACCTTCACAAATTCTATGAAACCTGACACCGCTATCGCAATATATGTGCGCCTTGTTTTGGATGATCAAACCATATTTTATGTGAACCGTTTGTGAATCACGGTTGACCATAATATGAACGCGTGGTTCGGATGATCGAACCCTTTTTCAAATTTGAATCTGGCGCGAAGTTGTCTTATTCTCTTTCTTTGTTTTCTGTTTGAAACTTTGATTTGAGTTGGAGATGTTCCAACCTTGTGAGCTGATTCACAAACATGAATGCAAACATGTCAGCACCAGTGATCAGCTTCTTTTAAACAAACGTGAAACGATCTTGGATGCAGTTTGTTTAACCTGTGTTAATGTCGATTGTGTCACTCATTCTCATGTCATCAAGTAATGTTTGGTTTCAAGTGGGTTTTGTCCCACCCAATCTCTGATTTCCCACACTTTGTCTCAGTGCTGACTGCACATCCTGAACCACCAGCTTCGCTCAAGCTCGTCGATCCGATCTCATACATACCTCACCATGCACCAAGGTGAGCTGAGCCTGTTAGCCTGCGGCATTAGCATCATTTTGCAATACATGAACGATAGCCTGGGACAGCATGATCCCACAGAGTGGACGCTGAAAGCGTCACGATGCGAAACCTTTGAGGAGGTCCTTGCAGGATGCGATTTCCTCTTACAGTGCTGCGGCCGTGCAACCTTTTTGGCCTCAGTGTACCAAATGTGGTCGCTATGCACGAATGCGTTGTACCACTTCGAGACCATGCATTGGCCTGATATGCCAGCTGAGACGCGCATGCACCTCACCACGCCGGAGATTCCATTGAAACTCTCCGCAATTTTGAGAGCGGCATGGGTGTCCTATCATCCACGTCTCAATTTGGCACTCGCGGCATTAGTCCGCTTCAAAGCTCGGTTTTTGGAAAATTCGACTCAGTCGCTCATCGCGACACGCTCACCATCGTGAATGACTGTATTCTCATTTTCGGTTGATTTGGTTGAGTTGCACGCCGCTGCACACAATCCAGTCCCTGCTGAACCATCAGCTGCTACGGGATCGTCCTCAACCTCGTGATCCCCTTGCGGGTAGTCTGGGTGACATGCACATGGAATGAGCTGGAGACGTTTTTCCTTTTTGTGATGGGCCATCCAGGCCGTGAGACCTATGGAGGTCTTTGAAATTGCAGTTGGAAAATGTAAGATGATGTGACAGGTGAATGTCACCGTGACAGTGTGATCCAGCTTGGAACGATTTGAGATTTCTCCCCACGCTTTGGCAGAAAAAACTGAGTGAGTGACTGCGGTTCAGATTCAGCATGTGATGGCAGTTTTTCACATGTCCGCATGTCGCATGTTGTTTTTTTTTTTTTTGTGTTTTTCGTTTTTGCGTTTTTACGGCGCGTAACTTGGAAGGATGACTTCTACACTTGGCGTCTAAGCGTGTAACTTAAGACATGTCATGTAAGACACGTGCATGTCCGCAGCCCCTTTTGAGCACACGCCGTGCTTCAAGGAAAAGGTGCGACGCTTGAGTGGCGCGCTAGGTTTGTAACTACGACTGAGCCCAATACGCCCGACCACTGCTACCTCTGCTTGTGGTGCAGGTTTTGATTTGATGTGCCTTTTTTACACCCTTGTTTTTCGAAAGTCCATGTTTGTCCGGTTGTTCACACAATTTTTTCAGTTGAACATCCTGGTTGGGAACGAAATTTCGTTGAATCTTCATGGTGTTTTGAAACCCAGGAATCAAAAATGCATCATACCGGTTGGGAAAATTTTATGATTGCTGATTTGGCGGTTGACATTATTCATGAAATTTGTTTCCAATTTTTTGTGACTACATTTATAAAAATGTTTGAAGTGTTTCAGCATCTGAAGCTATTGTGGCTCCAACGTAGGAGGTGCAGTGGCGTTGTGTATTTTCCTTTCGAGCGGTGCTTTGTGCCTGTTCGAGCAGCTTGGCAAATAAATTGAACACGTACTTTTGCCATGAATTCAAATAGTTTGGACCATTTTTTTGCCACATTGGGTTAATATCAACATGCAGGACCTGCAGGAATTATTTTTTAACCGGATTCTAGTTGAAACACCACGCCTTTTGGGTTGGGGTATTCACATTGTGTTGTGTTTACTACGCTTGCTGAGATCACCCGAGATGTGGCCAGTGTTAATTGTCTTGGAGCTGGTCAGCATTGTGGCTGCCAACGATTTCGCATTTGTGGCGCCCAGCTGGCAAAATTTGGAACTCAGCGCTGGGCAGACGCGAATCACCCCAGTTGTCCCAGAGGTGAACAATGGATTTCCGAAGCAGGCCATGTGGGTCAAAGGATACCTGATACCTTCAAGTACCATGACAGCGTATGATTGTTTTTTGGGTGCCAGTTTAAACACACGCACAGACAAATGTCCAGAACATAGCCACGGGAAATGGCATGTTGGGAAATGATTTCTTCATTCATGCAAAACCATGTCAATAGATGCGGAGAAAACCTTATATAGAAAGTATGTAATTAATTCGGTTGAAAAAAAAATTGGACAAAAATATCCAGTGTTTCAGAAAAGGGGAAATTTGCAAAATCCCCACAAGGTTTCAAATGGGAGATCAACAAAGGATCCACACACTCATCAAAGGCACTACATGTTTGGCACTGCAAAACCACGTTGGAGAGATGGAAACGGTCACAAGTTAAAGGTGGCAAAATCAAAAAATCACCAAAGCGATATATATTTTTCGTTTATTTACTTATGTACATGGTGCACGCACGCACACATACATACACTGCTGACGTACTAGATGTGGCAATTATGGCACACATCAAAAACAAACTTGAACCATGAACGGATGATTTTTTTTAAATGACGAATAGCAAGCGGAACGCAAGCCAACCAGATTTGTGACATTTCAAAAACACATAAAACACATAAAACACATTCAAGTGGAATTTTAGAGTTCAATCCACACTGCACAGATGTACTTCGTGTTAGATCCCCAGACCTTGCCATGGTGGCCTCATGGGATCCCGTGGAACACCACATGAAAAATGATTGATTACTAGAATTTATACGGGTTTATCATTTATAATAACGTTTATCAGTTTATCACTATATTTGTTTTGGGGCATCATCAATAGAATCATTATAATCACTAGACATTACTATTATATTATCATTGTAATTACCATAATCATTATGCTATGATTGCTATGATTATCACTAATCCCCCCTCAAGCGTTCAGGCCAAAAGCGGTACAGCGAGCAGCGCTGCCTTCCTTCTGGGAGCTTCGGCGTTGCTCATAGCGCTGAACCGACGACAAACGCGGAATGTGTCGAGGAACGTGTGGAATTTTTTCCCCATGAACAAGGACAGGTTGTCCGATGGACGACAGTGGACTATCCCATAAACTCCGAAACTTCCAATACCACCTTGTAAACCCTTATTTCGTATTGGATTGGTTCATTTTGGGGGTTCATTATGGGGGTTATTTTATTTTAGGGGATGTGATTAATCTAATGGATGTATGGATGTATGGAAAAACACGTCATCCTTCTTCCAAGAGACAACTTGTGATACAGGTTGTGTCAGATATGCCAGAACTTTCATGCAATTGACACATTTGTATTGGCATGGCACTTTTCCATCGATAGATATCATGTGAAGAATCAACAAAAAAAATCATTAAAGATCCGTAAGCGCTCAATAATTTCATTAAAACCAGCAAGATAAAACAATGCCATCGTAAAAGGTACCAAAATGACAATAAGTTGAATACACAGCAACGAAGAATCCATTGAACAAAAACACATTGAAACACAACAATAAAGAGCTTAAAATCCCATAAAACATCCATCCAAATAAATTTAATAAACAACTTTCTGACAAAATCCAGAAGAAAAAACCATTGAAACATCAGCAAGAACCTGGAGGTTCCTAAAGCAAGTCAATTCAAATCCACAAAAACGATATAAGTTGAACAATCCACTAGAAAATCCAATAAGACAACACCAACATAATCTATATAAGATCATAAAAGTCCATCTACAATTCATTTGAAATCAATTCATAAATCATTTAAACAAATTGATACAAAAAACATCCATGAAAGATTCCCGCAACAAATCCATGAAGAAATCCATTGAAACAAATCCATTTAGAAATTCGTCCCGTTGGAGGAGAAGCAATGGCCTGGTCTCGGTGAGGATGCCACTGGATCCAGTTGGAGATCACATATGAACCTGCGACGCCATGCCAAGCTGATGATGGGCAGAAAGATCAGGCCACCGACGATGTCATCCATGGCTCAAATGCCATGTTTGGTTGGATTGTTTTTAACCGGAGCTCACGGTGGTCACGGTGATTTGAATAGGGACAAAATGTGATATGAAGATGATGATGATGAGTCGTCGTTGTTCTTCTTCTTCTTCTTACTTTTTTTTTGCCTTTGGTGTTTGGTGTTTCCTGTTTGTTGTAACTCATTGATTGCTCCTTTTGATTTGGCACATCAACTCCGGGCTGCACCAGACTGAGCCTCAGTCATTGATGGAGGATTGCAGGAACACACAGACTTATTCAAACTGGGCTGACAGGTACATGAAGCAGCAAAAGGTTTTGCGCGACCATGACGTTTGGTGGGCAACCTACGATAAGTTCAAGGTTTGGAATCCAAATCCCAAGGCTCGCCAGATGTACATGGCCGGGTGCCCAGATGCCCTTGGTATGACATCTTCATCCGCCCTATCCGCCCTATTTGGAACGGCTAGTCACTTGCTGAGGGACCGGAGTCGCACCCAGACAATCCAGATTTCCCTCGACCAAACAGCGGGCTGCCGGCTCTGGGTGGTTTGGGAACCCAGCTGATCCGATCTATCGGTGAGAGACCTATCGAGTGAACTTCGCAAAGTGATGTTGCTATAGGAAAAAAATATAAAGCCACGCTTCTTTTTGGAGGCATTGCAACCGGAACTGATCCATAGGTTGACCATTTTTGTCTCTGCTGGGGAATCACATTCATTTCGTTGCCCAGTCCGTGTGAACCTTCCAGAATGAAACTTGCTTCAGCTGCCGGAAATGGCTTTCTCAGAGTTGAAAGAATTTCTTTCGCCAACCATCTTCTATGGATGATTGCCACTGGCTTCTGCGGATAGATGCAAACCACTGGCCATCTCGTGGTTGGTTGCAAACCTCTGGGAACTGCAATCCTAATTTGGGAATCTGTGACCATCGGCCACAGATAATTCTTTTGTACTGCTACTACAATTCCCCTACAATCAAATTCTTCTTGGTGATATTAGTCAATTCTTGGAGTGTAAATTTCTATGATCGTTCTTATATGCAATTTTTGTTGGTCTGTGAACTAGTCAAATAGTCAATAGAGGTTGTGAGCCCAGTTTTGCGTCAGAATTGGTGCCCACAAATCCAGCGTAAACCATTGTTAAAACAATGTAAAACAGCTCAAGGATAACATGGTAAAACATGGCGAACCAATCCACAAGTCTAGGGTTTTGCCCAGCTCCAGGTTACCCAGCTCCAGGGCCATGTTTTTTCAGCTCTCCGCCCTCTCAGGTTGGTCACCTGCGCCCATGGCGGCCTCCACGGGTCGCTTGGGTGGTTCCAGGCTGGCGGGGGCGTTCAGCTCTGCCAAGCGAGCAGCGACTCGGCTGGGGCATTTGGAACCAAGAACCAAGGAATGTAAATGATAACGCACACAAACAGCTTTGCACCTGACATCATGAGGTCTTCAGCTCCCCTAGGGTGCGCTCTGCTCTGGTTCGACACGCCCACAAGAAGGCCCACGATGTGGAAGCAGCCATGGTTAGAATGGATTATGCCTCAATATATATGGAGGTTTCCTAAAATAGGGGTACCCCTAAGGCCCTAAATCATCAATTTTAATAGGATTTTCCATTATAGACCATCCATTTTGGGGTACCCAGATTTTAGGAAACCCCCGTATAACTGATATAACTTGATATAACTGCTATACTCACCTTGGGCGGTGGCACTTTCCCAGAACTTTTCGCCAGGCGGCTGCCAGCACAAAGAATCAAGGCTACTCTTCCAGACCCAAGTGGTGGGGTGTGCCCTGGCAGGAAATCCATGGCTGGGAGTTGCTTTGAAAGGCAGCAGCAGCCCATTGACCAATTGACCAAGGTGAAAGCTTTGAATGGCAAGGCGGTCAAGACCCGTCAGCTGCTGGTGAAGCAGAGCTTTGGCTATTTAGAGGTCGGTCAAAGCCATTCTTGCTGTTTCTTTCTGGTTTTCCCAAGCTTGGTTCCCAAGAGCAGTGCGATTGTTGGGTTTGGTCTGGGGTCGGTGCATCGCGGATGCAAGACATTCTAAACAGGAATGACATTCCCAATCCAGAAGCCCTGCTGGGTGGCAAATTGGGTGTTTTTTGTTGGGTATGCATGGGATGCATACCTGGCATACCTTCATCATGACTTCATCTTTCATATCTTTCCTTTTTCCGTCGTGTAGTCAGAACAGTCGAGTTTTGGAGTTGCCAATGTGTCACATGTGTCACATCACATGTCCATCATGTCCATCATGTCCATCATGTCCATCGACCAAGGAAGGGCATGAACTGGTACCCAGGTAATAATGTGACGGTGACAAAGACTCTTGGCTCAAGCAATTGGCAGCTTCGGCTTTCGTGAGATCAAACGGACTTTGCTATTTGAAGGAAGATCACTCACATGGTGAGTTGGATGTGTCAACACACCTGTAATGCTTCAAAATCCATTATTATATCAATTCTTGGCGAAAGGACATTCTGCGAACTTCTACTTTCTATCTATGTTTATGCTTGAGCCACCAACACTAGCATTTGTGACGACCGGGATGATCCATTGGCTCATACAAGTAGGCGAATGATAACCATTATAGTCTCTCACAAGACATGGAACAACTTTGCAAGTATATCTTGATCGAGTGTTACTTTTCAGTCCTTTGGCTGACTTTACGCAGGAATCCCAATCCCAGAGCCATATTTCATTTTCTAGGGCCGAGACAGACTGGAGGGTCAATAGCTCATGTACAGTTGAAAGCACAGAGAAATAGACTAAAGTCGCACACAGAAAGACAAAAAACATATATTTGATTTGACAGATAGGAAAATAGATAAGACAGATGAGACAGATATGATAGATAATATTGCCAGATCAGATAGGTAAGATATATAGGATCGATAGGATGGATAGATAGATAAGATCAGACAAGATTAGATAGGATAGATAGGATATATAGGATAGATAGGATATATAGGATAGATGGATGGATACATCGATAGGATTCGATACATATCAGGTATATACTTACGTATATTAAGGTGTACATCCAGACATTCCATTGGTCCAAGGAGTGGCGCCTTGATGTCCTTGAAGGACGGCATTGTCCAGTGGCGCGGCACCTACCGGCACAAGGAGGTGCACTAAGAAAGAGATGAGCCGAAACTGATGGCCTGGTGGGTGATCTTAGGGGCTACTAGCCATTAGCCCATTACTATCATTAGGGGGATTTCGGGGCTTTATACTAGCCATTACTAGCCCAAAGGCCGGGGCGGACTGAATCATAGCCCGTTGATCTTCCCGATGTTCGATTCCTGATGCCAACAATCCTGATGACTCAAATGCCATCTGATGGATTGCAGACGATTCACCTCTTGAAAGTTGAAACTGTTTGATTTCCCAGGCAAGCAGGTTTTCTACGGGGCATTGATCACTGGTTCTACTGGTGGCCGAACCTGACAGGTGAGCGTGGTGCCCTGGGAGTACGTCCGTGCCAAATGCCGCTGGCACAATGATGGAAACTTGGCTCCTCAGGAATACTTGCCATGGATGGGTCCGAACCTCAGTTGGTTGGCACCATCCATGCAGTTTTCAACTGACAGTGCCGAGGTCGCAGAAACGAGGTCCTCAGTGGGATGTACGATGAATGGGCGGAGACCACAGAGGGAAAGGCATGGCTAGAGAAGAAGGCTGAGAAGAAGGCGAAGCAGAAGGAGATTCAAGCGAAGATCAGGCTGACCTTGAACAGGGAGAGCTTTGTGTCAGCCTTCGATTTGGGTTTCTTCGAAGATTTGTCGGGTATGTGTGAAGATTTACGACCCATGCACCAAAAGATCTAGTAATTATGCGGCCAGCAAGAATAAAAAGTACCACGTCTTGACGAAGGGCCAAAACCGTGCCATTTCCCGGTCTCAACATGTCTTGACATGGTATTGGGCGTGATCGAAAAAGGCTTTGCGATTTGAGAGTGCTGTAAGGGTCTTCGAAAACTTGTTTTCCAGAATCATTTTCTGGCCCTTTTGAAGATCTTCAATCAGTGTAGTAGTTTACCTGGGATGGGGGATTTGATCCTTTGTTGAAGATATTCATTCGTTGTAAGAGTTTAACGTGGGGTAGGGGATTTGATCTCTTATTGAAGATCTTCAATCAGTGTAATAGTTTAACAGGGTTGGGGCATTGGATCCCTCCTTGAAGATCTTGAATCAGTGTAATTGTTGAACATGTGGATTAAGTTGGGACCACGTGTAAGTTGGGACAGTTCAGAGTTTGGGTGAACCTGAGCCTGGTTTTTTGGCCCGGCTGCGACACGAACAATGTCCACTGAGTCAACTCGTCTCCCTTTACCAGGGCCAAGAAGCAGTGGCGCTTCAAGGAGCAAAAGACCAAGGACAAGGTGCATACGGGGCTTCAAGGATGTTAGGAAGATAATCTAGAAATGATTTTTAAACAGGTCATGTTCATGTTCCGTACTTCCCCATTTTGAATTCCAGTTGACTGAACCCCAACTTTGGACACGCCAAAGCAGCGCACCACCCTGAGAACAAAAATCCTTCGGTGATTTGTTGGTCGATGTATTATAAATCGCCTTGCTATAAAGACCAAGCAAAGCTTGTGTCGGCGTAGACTAAAAAAGAAACCACATGGGTTGACATTAAATGATTTGTTTCATAACCTTGATCAGGTTTGATTTTAGACCTGATGGCTTGCTCCAGCCGTGCAGGTGACAGCTGGTGATTCTGACTCAGAGACTGAGAAGTGAGGGGGATGCGCCAAGTTCCTTTTCGCAGCCGCAGATTGATGAATCAACGTCAGAGACATTTCCACCAGAAACCTTTCATGAACAACGCAATTATATACATATACAGTATATATATATATAATATATATATTATATCCAGTTAGAGGATTTGCATTTGATACAATAAACATATTTGTTTCTTCCACCCTTTAGAACATGTTTTGCAGTATTGAAAGGACATTTATTCAGGAATGACTTGTAGAAGTGAAGAGATTTTCAGCTGCGAAAGACAGAGCTGCGAAAGATATGCGCAAGTCATTGCCCTGTGCCGCTTGCAGTGAGTGCCTGACCAAGCCATGACCAAGTCATCTCTCCTGGGCCGCTCAACCGCTGCCGCGCTGTTTTCTGGGCTCGGAGAATCCCGCTCACGGCAGATCCTCATGAATTGCTAGGTTCAACCATCCACCTTCAATGTCTTCTCTAAAAAACATACATATAATTATATATGTATATATATATACATACACACATATATATATATATATATATGTAATAATAATAAACACACATGTTTTGAACATGGAATATTTCCATCATATCCCCATAATTGATTGAATCTCCATTTTTGTTGGTTGATTTGGATGCCCAAACGCCCTCAAGAGCCGTCACTATCCTTTGTGTCGCCATGGACAGTGAGAAGTTGCCGGAACGACTCCAGGAGGGTAACATTTTTTTTCACAGTGATGGGTCAATGGGTGAACGAATCTGGAAAATCCCTTGAAAGATACACAGTCTATAATCATATGATATCATATGTTTTCATGGAATGATATTTGTTTCAAAGAAGACAGTATAATAAGTTCGTTTCACAAGTTCGTTTCCTGGATAGTCCCGCATCATATGGTCGTGCAACGTTGCCTTTCGGTTTTAATCCTGTGACCAGGAAGTGAGTCCCGAGCGCTTGTCATCACATCCCTTGAAGAAGGGTGTCTTGGCTGGAAACAATTATATAGGAGCTGTGGAGTGATTTTCGGGATTTGTTGAAAGTTGTGAGCCGACCATGAAGAAAACAGCCATGATCCATCCACGGTTTTCCCATTCTACTTGGGAGCCAATCATCACCCACTTTTTTGGATCCACGACTCTCCAGGGAATCCTCGTGATCACTGGCGACTGGAACATGTGGAGCAAAAGGTTCTCGAGTCGGGACTTGTGGCCCTCCAGTGCCGCAGCACAAAGCAGGGAGTTGGAGAGGGATCAATGACGAAGCTATTCGAGCTGTGAGGGGTTACATAGTTTGCAGTTTTGCAGCCACCGATGCTTGGGGTGAACTAAACCATTTGCATCCATTTGCTATTTTTAGGGAAGGAATGGACTGTGAAAAGTATGGAACTTCGTTGCCAAGACCGTGCGATTTGTAACAAGTAGCGGATGGTCGTGCGGGTGGAACCAACACTCTCACTGAGCTTCATGTCATGGCAGATACAAGGAGCCAGCTCACTGCCTCTCCATCAAAGAGCCCCGCGGCAAGACAGGGTTCTGCCGTGTTGCGGGCATCCTTCTTCGAACGCTTGTTGGAGGGTCACGTTGAGCTGTGTCTCGGCTTCCAGGGGATGATCGATCCAGAAAAGGGCAGTTCCTGGGGTGAACTGTGGATAATCCACGATAATGGACGAACCGCTACAGCCGCTGTACCAATGTTCTGCAATTTCAACGGTGCGATGACGATCTTCTGAAACAGCGCTTTGACGATGCCCAGATATTGCAACATCCACTGGGTTCACCTGGCTCAGCAAGGCAGCTAGCTGTGCCCATTCTGGGGCCAAAAAAAAGTGTAGCATCCCCTTTCTTCACATTTCATCGCCATGGCACTGAGGAAGGCTTGCCCTGCGAATGATGTCGCAGCTGCCCAAGGTGCGCTGTTGGGACCCGGATGTGGAGAGTTTCCGATCCCGATCCTGGCGATCCCGGCAGGTGACTTGAAGAAACTCAACCTGAGCCAGCTCTTAGCGCTGCGGATTCTGACCAAGGATTTCCCAACCACCAGTGTTGGTTCTTGGATGCGGTTTGAGTTGTCATGGGAGCTAAAGTGAAGGGTGGGTAAATTGAGTTCGCCACCAGCTTGTGAAACCTGGTGGATCATGGTGGCAGAATTGTACATGTAACCTGCCAGGCATATTTGAACAAAAAACACATGCTGTGCCCTTTTCTCGTGTGTCTGAATAGCTGTCACAGAGTGGCCAGTATCTCTATATGAAAACAGGCCAAGCGTGAAGGGATTTGACAGATTAGCTTTCGTTCCCATTGACCACAGTTGTTTCCCCGTGAGAAACAGGACCCTTTCAAAATGGCCGAGAAATCTATTTTTTAATACTAGTTTGGGGCCCATGTTGATCTCGACCAGCCTGAGGTTCTCTGAAGGTTCATGGACACTTTCTGGCAGCTTTGTCATCTGAATTGTCCGCAGCTAAGTGCTTTGGGTTGTGCAGCTGACATGGCATAGTGGAGTATAGTGGACACATGTTGTTTGTTTCTGTTACTCTTGGACTTTTCAATGTCCTGATTGATGGCCTGTTTGAATCTTTGAAACCCAGTATTTCAGTAGCATCCAGCCCATCATTTCTCCGCCGAGACTTTTCCTCCTTGAGGCATCCCGCAAGCATCGCAAGCGTGACATCCGAGGTTTCAAAAGGTGGGCGCTCGGGCACTGGGTGAAGAGATCGCCACAAGAAAGCGCTTGGAGCAGATCGGTGCCCGCCTGGTCTTGTGCTGGGGACCCTAGAAACGTGTCTCCCATTTTTTGGGACGCCCAGCTATCAACATCAACAAAAAGTCGGATTGAGGTGGTGATACCTCCGAAATTCTGCCATTTCTTCCATGTCTTCCCGCGCCCAGGTCTCGGAGCTGCAGAGCTATTGGCAGGGGCCAATCCTGCGCCTCCATGTCGCTGGTTGACAGCCCTCGAGGAGGAGGGGATCGGCGGGAAGGATTCACCAGGGATGATGGGATTCTAAACGGTCAATGGACAAGGGTACCCAAATAACATCAAATAACTATATTCGAAATTATTAAAGCTTGGGATGGTGTTCTCATCGAAGGAAGTTTAGAAGTCAAGCTTTCGACAATATGGACAGATGAAAAGCAGAGATGAGAAGAGTCAGAGAAGAGGAGAGAAGAGGAGAGAAGAAGAAAGAAGATCAAAAAGAGAAAGTCTCAGAAGAAAGAATATCCAGGTGCGCGAAAAGGTAGGAAAGTCGCGAGACACTGTGTTTTTCCAATGATTTGTGGCTCCGGAGGGTCGAACAGTAGGCTCACTAAAGCGGCGGGTGCGGAGCCAGCTGGCCAGATGAGAGATGAAAAATTGCACGCCGTTGTGGCGCGAAGCACATGTCCAAGTCAAAATGCACAAAGCACTTCAGCTTCGGAGCACTTTTAGAAGTTGCGATGTCGAAAAAGTGCACGCCGTTGTGGCGCGAAGCACATGTGCAAGTGAAAAAGCTAAAAGCACCTCACGTTCGGAGCACTTTTGGAAGTTGAGATGTCGAAAAAGTGCACGCTGTTGTAGCGCGAAGCACATTTCGAAGCCAAAATGTACAAAGCACTTCAGCTCCGGAGCACTTTTGGAAGTTGAGATGTCGAAAAAGTGCACGCCGCTGTAGAGCGAAGCACATTTCGAAGTCAAAATGTTAAAAGCACCACATGCTCGGACCACTTGACGTTCAGATGTCGTTTCGCGTGGCAGACGCAAGGGATTGTTCACCTTGTCAAAAGTTAGCAAAACGTAAGGGTTTTCTAGCATTTCCAAAAACGATGGCAGACGTGGGATATTTGACGAAGATCTGCAAAGATGCATTTTCCGTGACAGGCGCAATATAAAAGACATGTTCATCAGAGATGTTAGGAGGTCAGGGCGCTGATTTCCTGAGAGGGATGATATTTTGGAGCATCAGATCTTCAGGTTTGCTGAGATGATTTTGCGTGACAGGTGCAGCACTTCGTATGACCTGGCAGACCTGGCATCACTTCTTCGTGGCAGGCGAAGTACTTTAGACACGTGGAGTGGAAAAATCGCAAAACTCATTGGTACGAGGCCGTCAGCTCTGCACTCAACTTTCCATTTTTGAAGGACGTCTCGCAGAGTTGCTTCGTTTTTGATGTTGTCAACTTCAAAAAATATGGATTTCTCGCAGAATTGCTTCGTTTTTGCACTTGTCAACTTCGAAAATTTAGGAAGTCTCGCAGACTTGTTTCGTTTTTGACGTTGTCAAGTTCAAGAGCTGAGGAAGTCTCGCAGAATAGCTTGGTTTTCAAGCTTGCAGATTGCAGCTAGATAGATAGATAGACAGATAGATAGATAGGTAGATAGATAGACAGACAGACAGATAGATAATTAGATTTTTATTAGATAGAAAGAAAGAAAGAAAGAAAGAAAAGAAAGAAAGAAAGAAAGAAAGAAAGAAAGATCGATAGATGGCTAGATAGATAGATAGATAGATAGATAGATAGATAGATAGATAGATAGATAGATAGATAGATAGATAGATGGCTAGATAGGTAGATAGGTAGATAGATAGATAGATAGATAGATAGAGATAGGTAGATAGGTAGATAGATAGATAGGTAGATAGGTAGATAGGTAGATAGGTAGATAGGTAGATAGGAAGATAGCTAGATAGGTAGATAGATAGATAGATAGATCGACGACAACAACAACAACAACAACTACTACTACTACTACCACAGCTACAACTACAATTACAACTCCACCACATTACACTACACTGCGCTAATTACACCGCAGCACGCTACAACTACATTACATTACGCTACAGCTACAACTACAACTGCAACTACCATTGCGCTACCACTAGATTGCACTACATGACACTACACTCATTGCACTACACTACACTACAACTACAACTACACTACCTTACGCTACACTACACTACACTACACTACACTTTGCCAAACTACAGTACACAACACTACAGCACACTACAATACACTACACTAATTACACCACAACACTACAACTACAGCTACAACTGCAACTGCAACTGCAACTACACTACACTAATTGCACAACATTACAACTACAACTCCACTACACTACACTACACTACGCTACACTACGACTACGGCTAGAATTACAACTGCACTACACCACACTACATCCAGCAGTTGCTGTGAGGTGACCACTGCAATCATTGCAACCACCCAAAAACACAACTCCAACCACCTTTCGGTCCATCAGTGGATTCGCTCTGCCATCCGTGATTCACAACAACCAACGTCTCCTATAGATTTCCTACCTTTGAAACTTCCGCCACCGCCTTGTACGGCACTACTGGAAAAGGCCTAGATGTGTCGGGTTTTGAAAAAGAAGGCTCAGGTCTATGTGCTCTTCTTGGATCTTCCCACATGACATCCTTGGAATCTGGTTCCAAGCGGCTGGGCCCTTGCAGGAAGACTCAAGTTCCAGTGCCTGCCTTGGGGATCTGGTGCTGATGCTGAAACTGTCCTTGTTGAGCTGGTGAAGCTGGTCAGTCAACCTGAGGTTTTGTGCTGGTGGATGTGTGCGCACACAGTGCACAGATCATGGAAGGCCCCCCGTCTGGCAAGAGTCCAAAAACGTCAAACACAGCAGTGGACCAAACTCAAGCGAATGGAGAAGTTGGTCACAGTTCCTGACGATGAGCCGATTAAACTGGTTTCTCTGTCTATGGTATACCAAGTTTCCGTGTCAACTGGAGGCGTTTCCGGAGACTTTGACCAATATCGAGGTATCAACATTGCACTGGTGGGAGTCCACAGTTCATTCACCTGGCCCTGATTCTGGGGTGCCTAATTTGGATGCAATCAAAGCTGGAGACCTACATTTGCATGTCTATCGAGATGTTTGAAACTCCAGCCACGATTATTTCGATCACAATTTCCCAAGCACAGATTTTAGTGCCATCTCAGCTGCCAACGACACTGGAGTTTTTCCGGACCTTGCAAGAGATGCCTCGCTATTCCCAACAGCTGTGCCCTATAACTGGTGCATCACGGATCTGTTGTTGAGTTACAAAGCTGGGTTTAACTTTGGATTGATGTTGATTAAACATGATTTAACCAATTTTACCCTTGAATCTGCCGATTGAATCCCAATGGTTCAGCTGAATCAGTTGCCCCGAGGTCATTGATTTGGGCTCCAGCTCTTCTTTGAATTGGGAAGTGATCACCATGGATGCGGCCAAGGCCGCTGGACCAGCCACCTAGTCATGGTTTCGAATTCAGCCGATTTCTGGCGGAAGATTTCAAGTTGCTGAACTTTGAGCAGAGTTGGCCCAAAATTTTGCTCCTTGTGATGCAACCTGACCCTTCCAGGATGACATTCCAGCCGCAATGACTGTGCTTCGCCGCCGGCGCAAAGGGACGCGGAGGACCACCGTCGAAGAAACGCCTGAAGGTGCTGGGGATCCAGGGGAGTGTAAGGTGGAAGTGGTAGGAATTGGTTGGTGACATATAGTAGTTCATCGGGAAGCAGCAACTATTTCTTGGGTATAGGGAAGTATAGGGATATGTGATTTTGTAGTTGCATTTGGGGCTTCTGTGGTATGTTCGGCCGTGCCCAGACTCCGCTCGACATTTTCCATCGCTAGCTTTCGCTACCGAAGAACTTGTGCCAAAGAGCAAGCGAGAGGACTCGACCAAAGTGCAAGCTTACAAGAAGGGGGATACCTCAATAATCTGCAGGCCTCACATCTTCCAAATCTATTGCTTTTCAGCAGCGAAACCAATGACATTGGCCACAAATCTTGCCACCAAAACTGCTTTATCCCTGCGAATTGGTCTTTCAAGGGCAAGCTGCCAAGGCTCCAGCTCCGACATCACCAGCTTGACAAATTAGATATGGTGGGTGGGAAAACCCACAAAAAGAACATGGAAAGTACACATGATGGTTGTGCTTTGTCTAATTGTTTGTTTGTTAGCATCCCCAGTTTTGGTCGCAAGATCCCATTTTTCCTGGTGCCAGGACAGAGATGCTGAAGCTTCCAGTACCAAAGGAATGGAATGGCCAGCTACCAGCCCTCCCAGGACAGATGGTGTCGGTGTCGTTGTGGTGGTGGTGGCGGTGTCGTTGTGGTGGTTCTGGTGGTTGTGGTTGTGGTTGTGGTGGTGGTGGTGGTGGTGATGGCTGTTGTTGTTGTTGTTGTTGTTGTCGTTGTTGTCGTTGTTGTTGTTGTTGTTGTTGTTGTGGTGGTCGTCGTCGTCGTCGTCGTCGCTGTTGCTGGTGGTGGTGGTGGTGTTGTTGGTGTTGGTGCTGCTGCTGCTGCCGCTGCCGCCGCCAGTGGATATTGGTGTGCAGAGGTGTTTGATCAGAAAATTGCATATGTTTATTGTCCTCAGAGGCTTTCCTTGTTCCTGGAAGCCTCTGTGTTTTTGAAAGTTCCTGGGAGATCCTGGGAGTATTAAGGGGCTCCGCCCCCTGCCGCCGACCCCTGGGCTGAGCCTGCGATCAGCTTCTCCATGGCCCTGAAGCACACACACACACACACACGCATATATAAAGATATATATATATATCTATACATATATATATATATGTATGGTTATACACTGCAAAGTTAGGTGTGCGTTGATTATGTATACATGGGTGCAATTCTGCTAAGGGGCTGACATGACAAAGCCAGAGTAGAAACATAATTATATCAGTGGTTCAATCTTGCTTGGTTGCCGAATCAAGGCTGTCTGGTGCCATGCTTTTGCAGCTTTTGGATCGATAGTGTGAGAAGTAGCAGCACAAGCACACTGGGACAAATTTCACCCGCAATAGCGAGGGTTGTTTGCGCTTTTTGTCCGGCCATGGATCACATTGAATTCAAAGTCCCTGCTGGGTGCTACACAGAAGCTTCTGTGAAGGACGCAGCCAGCATTTGTTCCACCAGCTGTTGCGAGCAGAAGTCTAGGCAACCAACTACTTGTAGCTGCAACTAGCTGATTGGTTCTGTTGCGGTGCCGAGAGTTGTGACATTGCAGGAACTGAGAGCCTTCCTCAGCTGCACGCATCGGAAGATCGGCGAAGGATCTCTTCTGTGGCGCGTGAGGCTCAGAACTTGACATTTTGGACCACTTTTGCGAGGTTTGGTAGATTTCGCCTGTTGGTCCTGGAAATGGTAAAGTCACAGATGATCACAGATGATTTCGCCGTTTCGCGACGATTTACGTCTTTGTCTGTAAGACATTTTAAGAAGCCTTTGTGGTGGGAGGCTTCAGTTGGCCGACATGAAAGAGGCGCCATGGGGAATATCTTGATTTTCATTATCTGAGCACATGAGTTGTTTTTTTTTTTTTGCGGAAAACCGTTGATTAATATAACTATATCATAAAATATCATATATACATACATATTTATATATATATACATGTATAGATATATATATATATATATATACATATACATATATGTAGCTAAGGCTGGCCATGATACTGGGATTGAACTGGTAATCGAAAAACGCCCTGAAGTTGACACAACAGTGGCCATTTTAGAAAAATGGCTAGTTTTGCAAAAAAATACTTTGCGTTGCCAACATATTAGTTCCACCAATCTTGCAGCAGTTCTGCTCACATTGCAGGAATTTCAACGAAAGATGAGCGACTTTGACCGAAAGAAAGCCATGGATATGCGAACGCTCAGCAAGGTCTGGCTGATTTCACAAGTGGTTTGGGGATTTCTCAAGTACGATTTCACCTCGTGGATTCCCATTGTTGTAGGAATGTCGGTGTAGGAATTGAAGGGAAACCTTCAAAAAAATACACCCCTTTATCTTGGAAAACACATAATACTGCTAAACAAATCATGTTCATAAACACGATTATATAAATGCATGTTTCAACCAATTCAATCCAATTCATACATTAATGTGAAAGTTGGCATGTTCAGAAATGCAATCTAATACGAATTAATCTAATGTGGGTAAAAGAATCATAAACCATCTCCCAAATCACCATATTTATAGGTGGTATGTTTACCATTCCCAGGCATGGATGGTTTATGGCATTGCTTTCATTGTTTTACCATGTTTTACCCTTTGGTTATTTAACATGCCATGGAAAATCACAATTTTTAATAGGTAAACCATCTATAAATGGGCCATTTTCCATGGCTATGGTAAATAACCAGAGGGTACCATGTTTTACCCCACATTATTGGTGTTGATTTTCGCAGAACGTCAGGACTTTGAGAAGAAGGTGGAGATTGAGGCAGCGAAGCTTCGAGCGAGAACCAAGGAGCTTCGATAGTCGCCGTGTCGCACCATAAAGTTGGGCCGGAAAAAACAAGCGCAAAAAATGAACTGTTGGACCCAAATCAGAATAGATCTTATATATATATACATATATACATATATATAACACATTTTGGACCCAACATGAATAGATCTAATCTATATATATATACACACATATTGCACTATGATCACCAGCTGCCATGAGGACCAGTTGGATTCCACGACCAAGCGGACCATCATGGAAAATGAACAAATGGCTTGGGGCTTGGCACTGGGGAAACCTGCGGACTGACAGGGGCTATGAACGAGTTTCTAGAACTTGGAAATTGATCTCTTGAAAGGATTGAACGTAGCTTTGTTGACCATAGTCAAGAGAGACAATCAAGCACAAACCCAAACACAGCAGAAAAATACTGTGCTCAGCGGAGGACTATTCTTACTTAAGCTGGTCAAGGGCATTACTCAACGTCTGCCAAGCGTTTTATGACCACCATGACGACTAATATTTCAGAAATGTAATATATACAGATTAAATGATATATAATACAATATATATATATACATACTATCTATGATAGATGTGGTAATCCCAATGCTAGCACCCCCTTTATATAACAATAAGAAATCATGATGACCTGCATATATATATATATACATATATATATATGTGCTAATATATGTATGGTTTCTAAATATAAACCACCAGATAAGAACATGATCCCCATTATCATCCCCATTATATGATACTCCCATTTTAATGACTATGTATTTATCAGACAGTCATATATACTCATTATTGTTTTACTATGTATAATTCCATTATCCCATGATATATAGAGACTATACACCAGAAAATAAACATGTGTTTAATGTTATATCATGGCACTATCCCAGAGGCCGAGTATCATATTATCGGTGGTATATAATCCCATGATTCCACCATTACTATTATCACGATGGTTCGCCAGGTACTACCACCATCATCATCGTGCTTATAGTTTATGACGATCGGTTAGGGGATATCAACCATGATACTAAAAGATACCGTCTAGGGAAATGCTTCGCGATCGAAGATTTTACGAAATGAGCGCAGAAAATGAAGGCTGTCGAGGGCGCGAATAAGCAGCCTTATTCGCACCCTTTGCGTTCACACAGGGTAGAACCTTTTATGCTGAGCTGTCAGTGTTTATTTCATGGGGTGTGAAGGTTTAAGATCTATCAATGTCAGAAGGTTCCCAGTTCTGCAAAATGGCGTGCTCCATGATAACTTTGTAACAAATTTCCAGAAAGTAGACGAATATGTTTCATTCCCAGTACATCTCCATGTTTCGTTATAGCTGTACCTCAATCCCTATGAATTTCCATGAGCACTCACCATGTTTACCCATGCCATGTTTACACGATATCTTATATATACCTTTGATACACTCTATCCCATTATATACTATTTATTATAAACTATATACCATATACCAACCATATATTTACTATCCCATTACCCTATTATCGTTGATATCCCATTGCTATACCATTGCGACAATGTTGTAATAATGGTATAAAAATGGGATTTTACTGGTGGTATTAGCAATTTACTCCCATCATCATGATTATGGTTGACGATCATCGGTTTGGTGATATCAACTATGATAAATCTCATGGTTTTCCCCTGGTTTTCCCATGGTTTCGCATGGGTTTCCTATGGTTTTCCTACGACGGAGGTAAATGCACCACTCACTCTCGTTTTCTTTATATCTCTTTCTCTCTCTCTCTTTCTCTTGCTTTCTCTCTCTCTTTCTCTCTTTCTCTCTCTCTCTCTCTGTCTGTTTAGCGCCGTTGCGCAGGTGGGCCGACAGCTGGAGGTTGTGGCAGCAGGGGCATCTCAGCATTGCCGGGAGCGTTGGATTGCTGGGAGTTTTCATCGGCTGGGTTGGGAGCCCTGGGGGTGCTTACATCGTTGGTAGAAAGGGTCACCCCCGGGGTAACAAAAAAAATATATATTATAGGTATTGGTTAATAATGGTTACACCATACCCATGTGGAAAAAAAACCACCAAGGTGCTTGAGAAGTTTGGGGCTTATGGCATTCGGCTGGTGAAGAAATACACCAGGACAGCTGCAGAAGTGGGGGTGGCGTTGTTAAAAAAACTTTATATACGGGGGAGCATCATGCTTAAGAATCCTACCAACTGATTGGATTATATAATTTCCATCCATGGATCAATCATCAGTATCCCGAGTAAAAGACATGAAGATAGCATTTTTGGAGCCCTTTTTCTATTCAGTATTACTTATTATATTCAGATGATACACCCATCCTAAGTATATGTTTTTTTAATTCATATAATGTGATATAATATGAATAATTATTTTTTTGGCTTTGATTGATATGATAACAAGTTTATTCGTTTGGTTGACTGGTTTCAGTTTCGAGATTCCGAGCTGGCAGGTGTTGGTGCACTGCACCCGGGCCGCTCCTGCAGTGTGGCCGTGGTGGCGGCATTTCTGATGCAAAAGGAGAAGATCTCCCTGGGAAAGGCGAAATCGCTGGGTTTCGGAGCTGATTTCATGGGATTGTACCAGGAATCATGGGATTTAACCGTTTAACCAGAAAATAACATGGATTTTATATGATTTTAACATATTTGACCAGTAAACAACTTGGATTCCTGGGTAAACTGACAGGTGAATGGCAGGTGTGCTGGAACTGGAAGAATTCATGAAAATCAACTGTTGGCGGGAATCTGCATTTGACACTCTTGAAAGAAAAACGACGATTAGCCGAGCCCACCATCAGTCTTCTGAGGCCCTTCTGTCCATCAAGGTGACTTGACTGGCATCTCAAGGCCGTCCTTGGTTCTAGTTGGCCGGTTGGCCACAAAAACAACCATGTATTTCATCATAAATCATATATTTTACCATATTCATATACTTATACCATTTTGATACACCATATAGCATATATGGTATCATATAGCCAATTTCTTATGTAGTCACAGAACCACATGTATTTCACCATCTTAAAAGATAGTACAATATGTTTTACCATACTATCAACCACATACATATAGGAATCCATATTATGGTTCAACACATTCTTACATGTATATCAAATGCAATATATCATAACATTGCAACCAGTGTATATACAATGCAATAAGTTCTGCCCACATTACATGTTATCATTGCATATGCAATCATACCTATGTGATCCTATATGTATGCACACACACACATATATATATATATATACACATATGTATATATATATATATGTAATCATATAACCATATTAACTATATCCGTTTAACCATATTATTAACTATATTATCAACCATATCATCAAACATATTATTAACCACATGATTAACCATATTATTAACCATATTGTTAACCACATTTTTAACCATTGTATTCATCCATATGTACACACACACACATATATATATATATGTGTTTGTATGTATTTGGATCAATTATACCGACTTCACTGCGACCTCAGTGGAATCATGGTTAAGGGAAATCATCCCCAAATGGCTTTACCCAGATGTATGTCAATCCATATGAAATCCATATCAAATCATCCCAAAAGTTGTGTTTATGTCTTATGGAATGTATGTGTTTATCCACACCAAATTCTTTTATGATACTTTTTACATCCACATCCCAAAATCCATATCAAAATAGTAGTTATCCTCCCTGAGATCCACATTTCATCTTCCCTCAGGAGAAGCGTCCTGAGATCGACTGTAGGACCAACTTTTTGGACCAGCTTCGGTCTCTGGAGGAGGGGTCGCTGGGGCGGCCGGCCATCCGCGCACGAAAAAACCACAATTTGGGGTGGGGCGGGGACACCCTTAAATTGACGCCAGATTGGAACTGGATCCTGGAATTTGGATGGTTACCCTCTGGTTATTTACATAGCCATGATATAGATGTCCCATTCATAGATGGTTTACCTATTATATACAAATGGTGATTTTCCACGGCTATGTTAAATAACCAGATGGTATTTCAATTTCATGCCAGATTTCCTGTTTTCTTTGGACTCCCGGCTGTGAATTTCTTCCGTGTTTTAATGGGTGGCGCCAGGAGGAGCTTCAAGTGGTACCTGTATGTCCCATGACCCTGGAGGCAACGAAGGGTCCAGATGGGTTACCCCCAAACAAAAACCAGCGAAGTAACCCGTTATATCCCGTTATTGAAATAGCAGGGGATTGCTTTTCTAGATAAAGGCTATGTATATATACACACGCGTATATATATATATATGCATCGGATTTGAAGATTTTTGGGGTTTGTTTGAGAATAGTTGCCCCATGCCCTATTCCATCCATCGATTAATTTATCAGCATTTTTTTTTAAGCTTGTTAGGGGCAAATATACCCGATTCTCAGACAGAACCCAAACCATATGAGGTTAGTTATTCCCATTATTACGATAGTTTAAAGTTTAGATTCGCATTCTACCATGTCATACCATCATTTCCATGATGCTTTCCCGTTTGAGGCTTTCCAGCTCCTTCCCCAGAGGAGTGGTTAGACTCTGTCAGGCGGCCGGCGCGCTCAAGAACGAGCTGTCTGAGGTCAATCCTAAGGCCTGTTAGCACGAAGAATGCGACGAAGGATGGGATTTCATAGGATGAAATACTGTGGATGGTTGCGAAATCCGAATCACCAGTTGAAAACGGTGGTAAACATCCCATGATTCATCGGGTGTCAACCATCCTTTGGTGCAGGATTTCGCAACCATCCACAGTAGGATAGGCTAGGATACATAGGTGAGTGACGATCAATACCCCCGGTAGATAGGCTATGTTTTCATCAACCCCCAGGTAGATTTGGCACAGCAATCTGCCCCTTCTGGCAGGTGATTATGGAGATTTCCTTCGATGGGCAATCCGTAGGGCGGATCGAGTTCGAACTCTTCTGTGGCTGGGCTGAAAGGTGGCTTAGAGAACCCATGGCTTACCCTGAGATACTGGGGTTTCATGGGATATAATGGATATCATCATATATACATATATACATATGTACATATATACATATATACATATATACATATGTACATATATACATATATACATATATATATATATACATATACACATATATACATATATATATATACATATACATATATACATATATACATATATACATATATACATGTATACATATATACATATATACATATATACATATATACATATAGACATATAGACATAAAGACATATATATACATATATACATTTATACATATATACATATATATATATATACATATATATATACATATACACATATATACATATATACACATATACACACATATATATACATACACATATATACATATATATACATAGACATATAGACATATATACATATATACATATGTATATATATATGTTTATATCAATATACAGATGCACATATACACATCTATACATCTATACATGCACATATATATATAAATATAAATATATAAATATAAATAAATATATATATAAATATGTACAGATAGATTAGATAGATAGATAGATAGATAGATAGAAAAATAGAAAAATAGAAAGATTAGATTAGATTAGATTAGATTAAAATAGATAGATTAGATAGATGGGATAGATTGGATAGATGGGATAGACTAGATAGATTGGATAGATCGGATAGATTAGATTCATTAGATAGATTAGATAGATTAGATAGATTAGATAGATTACATAGACTAGATGGATTACATCGATTAGATGGATTAGATCGATTGGATAGATGGGGTAGATTAGATATATTGGATAGGTTGGATAGATTGGATAGGTTGGATAGATTGGATCGATGGGATAGATTAGATGGATTGGATAGATTGCATAGATTGGATAGATGAGATAGATCAGATAGATTAGATGGTTTATATAGATTACATTGATTAGATGGATTAAATGGATTAGATGGATTGGATCGATTGGATGGATTAGATAATTAGATGAATTAGATAGATTAGATAGATTAGATAGATAGATAGATAGATAGATAGACGGATGGATGGATGGATGGATGGATGGGTGGATGGATGGATGGATGGATGGGTGGATGGATGGATGGATGGATAGATCGATAGATAGATAGATAGATCGATAGATAGATAGATAGATAGATCGATAGATCGATAGATAGATCGATAGATGGATGGATAGATAAATAGCCAACAACATGATAATTGGGTGTCATTGAAATCGCCCTTCACCCTCTCCAAAATGGTAGGTTTTAAATTGGGAACATGATGAACCAGTGCATTTTGGCCAAGATTGAATCGAGCCCCAAATAATCATCCGAAATGAATAGTGAAGGGAATAAATGTGAGTTACTATTTTTCATAACTGAACATACATGAACGATAGATAGATTTACCATCTAGTAAATCTCCAGATGTTTTTTTCCCCTCCAGTTTAGGAACGCTTGTGATTTACCCTCTGGTAAACTAAAACAACTATGGGAAATCACCATGCTATCAACGGATGATGCTTAAGGGGTTTTCCTAAGGCAGTGTAAAAACTACCAGAGAGAAAGGCAAAACATGCACAAGCGTTGCATTTTCCATTGCATCTGGGTTTGTCAGAAAATACGGCATCTGCAAATCCATTGGTTGATGATCATTTTCTCCATTGAATAGCCAGACCCATCGTACGCGTGTTGAATTTGGAAGCTGAGATGCCGATCACGAGCATTTAAGTGTTGGTAAATTTAAGAGGTATATCCAATTAGTAGGGTATAAAACATGGCACTAGAGAAAATCGTCATTTGAATTGACAATTCAAGTCAACGCGATTGATGTATGGGATCTTTGTTTTTTGATTCCTATAAATATCCACATGTGTCCAAAAAAATATCTTTTACCAGGGATAGTGTTGGCTTTGCCACAGGTATAATTATTGGCAATGTTCTTCAATAATAGTCCCCATATCAGAATCAGGATGCAAACTTCGGTTTTAGACTAGGAGGACAGACCACGATACAGAAATATACAGAACAGGTAACATGGATTTTTGGAAAAACGAAACGCCAAATTGGAGGATACGATTTGGGGGTCAAAATTATTGCACCGCAACCTTTGCCCCGAAGAAGTCTTTTTCTCATCTTGTCAACACACAAAATTGGTACCCTGAATGACTTGAATCAGAGCCATTGATGGTAGGCCGCCAGTGCCTGTATCGCGACCACAGCTCCCTTCCAAGCCTCTTGGCCAGGCACATGGATCTGGCATAATCTGGTGATTTGGTGTACTATGGAAAGTGACTTCCATATCATAAAGCGATATATAGAAAGTTGACGTATTTTCAAGCCGCGTGCTGCCCAGGGGCTTGAATTTACTAAGTCTAAATACATGGAATATATCCAGGCATGTTTCATACATTCCGTAGCTGATTGCAAACATGTTGTACCTTCGGTCAAAGTACAACTGGGGAGACGGTCCCCGTGTACATTCGGTCAAAAAGGTGGGGAACTTGAACACAGGTGGTGTTACACCACTTGCGTAGCACATTTCTTGTCTTATGTAGAATGCATGCAAGCAACAAAAACAAAACCACAACATTATAATGATACGCACACACACACATATATATATACACAAGATGGAAGATCATTTTTTTTCGCGTACTTCTGATTTGGAGTGTCCACCTTAATTATCATGGTTCTGGATTCCTGGGTGAAAATCTACTGTAAACGGTGGTTTCAACTATCCAAGCCTCCAGTTCGGGTGGTCTTTCGAGTGTCCCGTGCACTTGGTCCATTTTTCCTGAGGTTGAACCATGGCTGAAATAGGCCAATACCCTGAGCTAATGGTGGCCAAGCATGGCCCGCTGCTGACCTAAGACGGGACGAGCAAAGCCTCTCCAGTATAGTCGGGAAACATGGGAAAAGCTCGGATAAAGTTGGGAAAAATGCGAAAGCAGTCGCTAAAGTTGATATTTTGGCATTCGACCTTTTTCGACAACAGCAACCAGCTGTGTGTCTAGACATTGATGTGGTTCTCTTGAATTGGACGATGTTCAAAAAGAATCTCGGCATTGACATCCAGTTCTGTGACTCAACGTAGATCGAATGAGGAGAACGAAGTTTTTGGGGTTACCCGGTGAGCCAGCATAACCTTGGAGAGCTCTGGAAAGCTTGACA